AACAGTGCTATTGATCCTGAAGAGCCCTAGTGCCAACTCTAGTCTGCTGTTAAAATAATCCAAAAGATCTTCATTGACCCTCAGAGAAAGCTAAAACGGATCACTGGGTTCTGGCAGCTTCATCCAAACTAATGGATGTGAGTGAACAGATTGCTGCAGGCACCAACAACTAGCCACAGATGCAGGAAATGTCTACACAAAGACTCTGAGTAGTGGTGGGCAGGGAAGTTTAGAGATGAAGAAAGCAGATGCCATAAGGAGTAGCATGTTGTTTTATAGATCTATCAAGGAAACGGGTGAAGACGTTGATGGTTGGTGAGACTACTCCAGAGGAAGATAGGTCAGTTATTCACTTTCACAGTAGACAACTGCAATGATAGCAAGCACTTAGATGAATAGTTCAAATGATTTCCAGCTACTCTTCAGTTGCTCACTATGCAATCCTAACCTTAATGATACATTCAGATAGTGACATCAACCCTAGCTGAATGTCATATATAACCTGATACAACGAAGGGTAGTCCATCCTGACAGAACCACACGTCACTTACTCCATCCCCAGGATAGAAAGGTGTTGCGTGTCCTTCTTGCCGCTATCTCCTGATTTCGAAAGTTGCCGGTATCCCAACAACCTTCTAGGAGGGTGATAACCTGTGAAAATGAAACTAAGGCAGAGAATAAATAGATTAAACTGAATTAACTATATACACTTCTAGTTCACCTCTGGATGCTCAGGGTGCTTTAAGTTTTGTTTTGATGAGTAGGCATCCAAGTAGACTCCGACGCCACTTTACGCTCCCTTTGTGCTGGTCAAGACGCACATTCTCAGAGTCCGTAGCTCAGCTATTTTAAGCCAGATAAGTTGAATAAACTTTCCCCCTAAAAATCACCTCAAGCCTTATTCTATTCAAATGTATTGCTTTTTGGAGACTATTCCTAAACAACTCAGTCTTTTTGATGTGCTTCGTTATCAGTACTTACACGTTAGGCAAAGTATTGATTAATTAGATAATAGAGGACATCGAAGTTAGTAAGACTGGTTAAGTATTACGTAATAACAACACATCCACTCTCTTACATAGTGACCACTGAAAAGGAATGCGTAAACAACTACTTATTCTGTATCTGAAACAAAATCTTAGTACACACTTAATTTCGCACTTCAGGATCAGTGCATGTAAAAAGATTGAGTTACGATAGCAAATATCTTTGGCTACACACTTCAGGTTGCAAGAAAATAGGGTAGGTACTTTTCGGAATAAACTTTAATTGCATACCTAAGAATCTAAACCAGTCCATCTGAGTACCTCTTTGTGAAAGATATCTATCTAAAGATACTCAAGAAAACTTTGCTTAACGGATAGGAACTTGTAGACTCGAGTAAATGCCCTATGTTACCTTCAAAAAACGCCGAGCTACCCGGTTCATAGGAAAAGCCACGCCAAACCCTCCAACTCTTAGTTCAGTCAACATCATTTCAGCCCTAAAGGTTCTAATAAGGAATATTGAAATTGCATCATTTAAAAATTTCCAACCCATAGCCATCCTAACCTTTTCAGAAAGTTATCCACTTTATGAGAACATAAGAAACTTCTGCAATCGTAAAATCCTTGAGGTTGACTTAAAACTAAGTTGAAGTTGTGAAAGCTGGAGTGAAACACGCTGTTGCTGTTTCGTGTGTTATGAGCAAGGGCTTCGAGTCCAAAGAAGCTGCATGGCAGTGTGAGTTTGGATTCCTGACCCAGGTTTTTCGTGAACAGAATATACGTCGTAGACAGTTATACTAGAGTTCTCCAACATTTTACTAATAGGGGCTGCTAGGTCATCGATTACAACAGACTGAATTGTCATCAGCACGGTTTGAACCAGCTCTGGTAGCTTCGAGGGAAACAGTTTGTGAGAAAGGTCGCCACTGAACGTTCGTTCGCCAATAACTTCCCGTATGCGTAGGAGCATACAAGTAGCTGATTTGTTCTCCAGCTCTATGTTACGAAGCAGTTCATATGAGCGTTGGCTATCTATGACACTGCTTTTCTATATAATGGCTTCTTTGGGCGGTGTATAACGATCACATACTTCTGGGTTAAACAAATGTTTTGCAATATGCATGTTTAATTCCCGCTGTAGTGTTCATATGACCGCAGAAAATTGAGAACAATGATTCGAGACATCCTCTTCTCGAAAATCAGCTTAGGCGCACGGAAAATGTTTCTACGTTATCTGACCAGGATAACATGAGATGGATTGGGCACATGGTTGATCTAATGGAGATAAGTTTGCGAGTATGGTAGCATATCAACATGGAATTTTATAATACAAGTGGCAAATATGGAAAAAAAGTTGCACAAGTAAAAAGAAGAACCAGTTTACGAACTGATCTTATGCGAAATTGACAGACTTAGATATCAATCACTACTTCTTCATATTTGTGGAATAACCACGAGTATGAGACCAATTAAGAGTGGAACCGAGATGGTATGTTTAAGTTATCTAGTCCCTACTGATTTCCACGAAAATTTCACATTCACCACTACTTCATGTCATATTTCATGAAATATCTTTGACCTAATTTCTAACTACACCATCGATTTCAAATGTTTCCAGCTTCACCTTGAATTTAAGCTCTCTACTCGAACACTTGTGGGTGTGTTAGAGCCTATGGCGAGTTGTCCAGGGAGCTATACTCATCAAGTGGTGTCCGTCAAGGATGCCCACTATCTCCATTCTTATTTAATTTTATCATAGGTATTCTTATGGAGGTTTCCCGCTCGTCACCTAATTACACAAACGTTGACCCAATCACAGGTGAATTTTCTTTAGATCTAGAATATGCAGATGACATAGTCCTGTTAAGTGAAGAAGCTGACAAGATGCAGAGTCTTCTGAACACTTTGAGTGGGAATTTGAGAATGTTTGGGATGAGATTTTCACCACCCAAATGCAAATTTTTGCTCCAGAACTGGTCTTCAGCGGTACCGCGGCTACCAACAGAGAGTGAAGTGGTTGAGTGTGTTGACCACTTCACTTACCTGGGAAGTAGGATCAACCCTGGTGGGTTAGTTGCCAATGAGATCTCTGCACGGATACAAAAGGCTCGATTGGCTTTTGCCAATTTGCGCCACCTATGGCGTCGCCGTGATATTCGTTTGTCTATTAAGGGTCGCGTGTACTGCACAGCAGTCCGCTCTGTTCTACTATATGGCTGTGAAACATGGCCATTGAAAGTGGAGGATACAAAAAGGCTTCAGGTGTTTGACCACCGTTGCCTTCGTAGTATAGGACATATTCCGTGGTGTCACCATGTAAGTAATGCAGAAGTTAGGTGTAGAGTTTTGGGGAGAAGAGGTAAGTCAGTCGACGATGTTGTGAACCTTCATCGACTGAGATGGTTGGGACACGTACTACGTATGCCTAGTCACCGATTGCCTCGTCACACAATGTTGGCCGAAATAGGTTCAGGCTGGAAAAAGGCTCGAGGTGGCCAGACTAAAACATGGCATCAATGTATGAAGTCTCTAACTGTCGGTTTAAGCCATGTAGGACGATGCAGACTAGGTGGTTGGGGTCCGCGGGACAAGAGGAACCAGTGGTTGGAGACCCTAGGTGATATGTCTCAGAACCGAAGTCAGTGGCGCAGATGTATACACACATTATCCTCATCTTAACAACGCTATACCGAATCTCACCATTTTGTCACTTCTCTTTCCTTTCTTCTCGTACTTTATATTTCTTCTGACTGCATTCACTTATCTTCATCCTTCACCTCACTACCTTTTTACTTGATGTGCTGATATGAGGTGTGGCAACTCGGACCGTTACGCAGTAATGCCTGGTCCTATGTTGATAATGATGATGATGATCACCTTGAATTTCTGGTTGTCTGAATCAATGCCGTACAAGTCATACAACTGAAACATTCATCCGTCTTGCACCAGGATTTTTTAAAATTTCTAGCTGGGAATCCCGACCTATAAAGTCAGCAAATACAGGTGCTACGAAGGATCTTTACAAATGGCACAAGGCGATGATCATGCTAAATATTATATGGAGAGAAGTTGGGAGATGTCAACCGTTGAATTCTAATCTATTGATTCACTGTTGACGTGTTCTTCGGTCAATCATCCACAAGCTTGTGCATGTGAACTGCTGGGGAATCTCAGTAACGTCTGGTTCAACATATCAGTTTGTGCCCCAGACTGCTATTATAGTGGGCGTTGTTGATAGGAATGGATATAAGTAATAAATGTTGACAGGGTGGCAGAAATAATAGGCAATTGCCTGAAATGGGTAAGGATTCTGCCCAGAGACAATGTAGGCATATTAAGAGCAAGTGGAGATAGAAGCAGAGGAGGAAATGAAGCGCATTATGCAAATGACTGTCTTAGTAGGAGGCGTACAATATTTGGCGACTAATGTACAAGATGTCAGTAATAAACATTCCTTCCTTTGTCTCTGTGTTCTTATTTTTCTCACTATTAGATCAACTAAGTTCCCATAAAGCATCCAATTCAATAATCAATTCATTCAGACAAAATGAGAGAGTGTGGCATCACTGATTATTAACTGTTTCTTTCACCAACTGACACAACACAGAAATAGTTACAAATTTAATAATACACAATTGATTTAAGAACAGAATTATTCACATATACTTTATGGTCAGTATATTTACAGAACTAGATCCATTTACAGCGTTTTATAGAAAAGAGAGGCGTTTAAGACACTTTAAATTTATTGGGCAACCAAAGTAGCGCTCCCTACTCTTTATTGCTTACACCACTGGTTGATGTCTATCGATCAAGCTTCCAAACTGGCCACTGAACTAAGCGATGCGATCGATATTGCATTTCAAGGTTGCAGTCAACCAGCAGATAAGTCTACATAGAAATCAATCAAACAGCAGAAAATGTTAGAAATAAACAACAACAACAAAAATGTACACACAGTTACAAGTGATTATTTCCCAATGTTTATTCGATTGGCTAATTATATGCGACAGGTTACCACAAAAATTCTGGATTATTTCGTTGAGCCAAAAAGTCAGTCATTTTGAATACTGCAACTTCTGTTTCATGAGCTGTGGACCAAAAAACAACAGTAATCATAATAATAATGCTAAATACAATCTCAGGAAGAGATACATTCAGTGACTTCTCTACACAATACTTACCTGAAACCAGAAGAAGGGGATGGGATTAGAGGTTTATTTACTTCAGCCGACATGGTACGATTACAGCTAAAATTTCTGTCATGCAACAAAATGTCAGTAGCGAGAAGATGAGCATACGCTGCTTGACCGATGAAAAGACCCTAGAAGAAGATTTGGCTTTCGCCCATGATGATTTATATCTAATGTCCTGTCGCACAAACTCGAAGATCTACAGGCGACAACCAACAAGTTGGCAGAAGAGACAGGGCAGAGAAGACGGGACCTCCTTCAGGTGGACGTAGAGAAGACAGAGGTGATGAAGATACCCAACCAACAACAGCATCAACAACAAGCTCCAGTCAACATCAACGGGAGAAATCTAAAGCAAGTTGTCTCTTTCACCTACCTACCTACCTACCTAGACAGCATCGTTTCAAATACACACGACACAGGCACAGATCCGAATGTCAAAGTCAACATCGGAAACGCATCAAGACAAGACAGGCCTTCCTTCATTAAACTGAAATCAGTGTCGAGATCTACTGCACTGTACTGGACTAAGCATAAACAACAAGATCCGCATTTTCAGCACTGGTGTCAAATTAAAGTCAGTGCTTCTATGTGATGCTTGAGAGACTTGGCGTGTCACGAAACGCATTTCAAACAAACTGCAGACATACATCATCAACAGCTGCCGCCTACGCTCACTCCATACTGAAGATCAGATGGATGGCCAGAATAGTAAGAACAAACAACAAAGAGCTCTGGCTGGCTGGCAAAATAGCGTATTAAAAGTATAAAATGGACCAATCGGCGTTTAGTATCTGAAACCACGGTAAAAATAAGATGGAGTGAAAAAGGGTGCGAAAGTAAGGTTTACATTTTACAACGAAAATATATACATATTACAAGTTACTTTTTTAAGGATCACCCATCCCTAACATTTCCTTTTTTGGAAGAAAAGTGAGTTTGTTACCTAAGATCTAAATAGAACCAAACTGTCCGTTTTCTGAGTCGATTTGAACAAAATCGGACTAGTAGCTCCTTGTTTATCGGAGGTTTAGTGTTTTTCTAGGCATCTTCTGTGCATGCGAACTTATCCAGTAGGATTTCTAGTGGGATGTCGTTGGATTTGATTTCTTCGATTGACTATGCTATTTATCGTAGTTGATTCTTATGCTGCGTCTAATTTTCTGTTCTCATTGCAACATTATATATCCCTTTTCATGCCCTGGTCTGTAGTCTCTGGCAAATACTGGTGTTTTGTTCTCAAAATAATTTTGACATGGTAATCTTTTTAGTCGTTTTTTCAGAATTACAGCATTATGAGCTGTACGTAGCTTTCTCTAGCATCAGTGCTTCTGATGAACTCTGCTGATTCAGGAGTCAGTTGGTTTCTGTTGTTCGATACATGAGTAGGAAGTTTTGAATCATGTCCAGTAATTTACCTTCCTGCTTTAGGTAAAGCCCTTATGAATGTATCGACGAACTGTTCCCCTTGTCCATTCAACTGAGGGTGATATGGTGAAGATAGTACATGTTATGTGGTGTTCTGATGACAAAAATTTCTAAACTGTGTTGAGGTAAATTGGAGGCAGTTGTCCGATACGACAGTTTCTGGGAAGCCATGACAACAGAAGATATTGTAGACTTTTTAACGTTCTCGTGGTATTTGGTGGGTCGACAGGTGCTACTTCTGGTCAGTTCGAACAAGCATCTACCAGAATAAGGTAATGTTTCCCATCAATGGGTCCGATGAAGTCAGCATGAATTTTCGAACATGGGAATTTTGTATCTGGCCAGGAAATTGGTGGTAGTCGTGGAGGATGCTCGACGATTTGTTGACATTCTACGCACCGGCTGACATAATTCGTAGCTTGCTGGTCCATCCATTGTTAGTATGCGTAGCTGAGAGCGACTAAATTCATGCACTCGAACACTGACCGAACATGAAACCCACCTAAATCAAGATTAGTAGGCCGTAGTAAGATGAGGAATCTAGAAAAAGCCGAGCTATATGCATGTATTGAAATACACACAGCAGGATGGGACAGTGCTGGAAACTAACTAACGTACTGCGGATGGAAGGAGAGATTGATAACCGAATATTTGTTTGTCGAATCGATATCAAATACACACATCAGGAATGAATCAACTCAGCACCGACTCTAGATAAACAGAAAAACCGACTACCTGTGTCACAAAGAAGAGAGGATTAGAAACATGTAAATCGTATCTCAAAGTTTTGGCGATATCTTGATATAACTATGGTTGTTAAATCATGTCCGTAACACAAACTAGTAAATAATACTGTTCCATTGTTTGATGCAGCATCTAATAAGCCAAATAAAAATGAAATTTAAGTACACAGATATGAGTTGAAGAAGTTTGGCGTACAGTGCTTGATCTAAAGACGGTACTTAACTCGGCCAAATCAGAGGTGTTACGGTGCTATTATCTGACTGTGAGGAGAGTACAGAGCACGTATGTAATGTTGATCAAAGTTCACTACCCAAACTCATCCAGACATATAGGAGCTTATGATAAGCAAAAAAAAATCATTTGTCCACCAGAGGTATCTCCTGTTATCCATCTTGTTCCATTTTGTTATACACGTGCTTATGGACATAACACCTACGTATCACCAACTTTGTACGAATTTGCCTACCTCAGTGAGGAGTCCCGATTGACTTGGAGTACCCATACGACATAATCGCACCTGTCAGATTTAAGAGAATATGCTTCAAAACTGCTCTGAAGCTACTCCAAGTATAAGGTTGGGGAGTAAATCGGGCGAATACGTGGTTCCTTCACTTGGGAAATTTTATTAACCTGAATGCTTTAATTGCTACCGAAAGCTCAGCTCGGATACAGAAGGCCAGTTTGGTATTTGCCAACTTGCGTAGTCTCTGGTGTCTACCGGGAAGAAATCTGACTGCCTATCAAAGGACGACTACATTGCGTTGGAATCCACACTATCCTGCTGTATAGCCATGGGACATGACCGTTAAAATTAGCAGACATTAAGAGATTATAGGTTTTAGACCACGTGCATCTTGGTAGCAACGTCTATGTAAGGTGGAATCAGTGTGTAAGTGATGTCGAGGTTAGGTAAAAAGATACTAGGCAAGAGAGGGAAGTCGGTCGATGAGGCTGTGAACCTTCACCAACAAGAGTGGCTTAGGCGAAGGTCACGCAACTGCCTACCTTGGTGTGAGATGCTTGTCGAAGTAAAACTGGGATGCGAGAAGACTGAGGGTAGTATCAGTCCATGAAGTCTCTACCTACCAGTCTCGGCTGTCCAGAAAGCCTGGTTAGGGTCAATAATAAGAGGAATCAATGCTTACAGACTCTACATGACATAGTTGAGAACCAGTCACAACAGTGCAATCGGATCCACTCTTTGGGTATTTTCAATAACCTTCATTTATTTCCTGTCTCCATCCATTCATTCTTATCCACCTTAATATCAATTTTTCTATTGACTTTTTCTTTGAAGGTTGCTGTGAGGTGTAGCAACTTCAACAGATTCACTTCTGTGAGAGGTTCTTCCCACACATATATAATACAGACACTGTACTAAACATTCGAGAAGTGTGGAATAATGGTTGAGTTAAGTCTATCTTTAATTGTAGTGACAAAAGTGCACTGATTGGTCACGGGAGAGTAACTGATTTCATATTTTCTAGTCCTGAGTGCAGATCGAATCCTATCGATCATATTTGCAATGGGACCACCAAGTTAGGAGGCTCAGCATTGTGGTGGACATTAGTAGACGTTAGTTGGTTAATCAATCGCGGCTCGAATAGCTCAGTGGTAAAGTCTTTGACCACAACACCGAGTTCGAGTCCCAGGCGAGATATCAGTCCCATCGAGGTTGGAGATACGCCCTACCGATGAGTGCCAAAAGGCAAGAAACTTAGGTAAAGGGCTTCATGCTTATTGCCTCCAGTCAATTATCAATGACAAAAGTTTGAAGATTTTTTATACAACATACCTATTCCAAGAGATTGTAATGTTTCCTCAGAACTATCTGAAACAACATCACCGTCCACATCAACCAACAATTCCCCAGACTATAAAAATAGAAAATGATAACGATGACTCTATAAGGTGTGAAAATCTCACTTTTGTTGTGAAAGCTTTGTGACGAATCTTCAATGCATCTTCAAAAGAAGGAAAAAAAGAAAACATAAACAACGAACCCAAATGACAGAGAAATCCAGTAAGCAATGAGTGCCCACATCTATTGTATGAAGGCTATTGATGATACTAGCTGACTGTGCAAACATTGGTGGGTGGAACAGGGCTTGAACCCATGACCCAATGGTTAGAAGTCAACTCTCCAACCCAAGGAGCCCCAAACTCCACTAAACACAAACGAAGTACGCTAGAGAAATCCACCAGACATACAGATCAAGATAAATGCATTCAAGAATGAAATAAAGGATCTCTTCAAATCAAAGAACTGAGTACCATACAAAAATATTCGAAAGTGGTGGAGCACATACGAGTGATAAAACAAAGCCTTAGTTTTCATGCTTAGCTTTCACACTTTATCCGATGTGTGAAACACTCTCCAGATCATCAATATCCATATTATACATGGACACAATCCATCTTTCCACGAACAAACACTCCATATGATATGGAATTGCTAAACATAGAAGATAACGAAATGGTGAATGTACAACGAAGTAGGTACAGATAAGGAATAACCAAACGGTAGGCAAAGATCAGTGGAGCTGTGGCTTAGTGGTTTAAAGATATGACAATCAACCGTTGAGTGAAAGGTGTGAATCCTGTCCCAACTTCCAAAGTTTTATATAGAAACATTCAGGGACGTATATTGATATTTCCAGAAGCCATAGCCATACACAAATTTAAACCACCTTTGTGTGTACAAAAATAACTTGTTCTTACACTACGCCTACCTTGGTGAACTTCGTTTTCTTACCCTGAATAGGATCAACTATATTACTCACTGTTTATTCTCATCCATCTTAATTTTAATCCCCTATTATGTTAATTGTTGTATTTGTCATCTCACTCTTCGGTTAAACACCTACCCAATGGTTGAAGCATGAGTAGACGAAGACCCCGAGGAGCTCAATAACGAAACACCTAATGGACTATGGACATGATACTGATACCTGTAAGTCCTTTACGGTTATCAGTAGACAGCGAAATAAAAAGTTGCTTGGATATGCAGAAGCCTGCACGATTCGAGTTGTCAAGCAAAACTTCTGCATTCAGAAGGAAATGGTAGTCAGCTTGAATCTGTCATGGTAGGAATTACAACATTGTCTAATCATACTCAATCTTTCCTACTTGCTCTTCGCTCTTAATTATTACCCGTCTGATATTTTGGTTTTACTTCCCTGATTTGTTTCGCCCAATTAACCTTATTCCTATTATCGTTGTTATCAATATTAATCGTCTCAACATACATATAGTTTTCCTATTATGTCTGCATAAATACTACCAACTATCTTGTTTTGAATGATATGATCGACGCTCAGTCGATTCAGTTCTCACCCCTGTGTCAACAATATTACTATCATTATTTTTCTACTTGCAATCCACTATCATCAAAATTCAGCTAACCATGTTGTAGCATTTTATTTTACTGTATTGTGTTGATATATGTAACAACTCATTGAACATTTTTTGTTTAGTTGTACTGATAAAGACTTTTTGCTCGCTCGTTGACCAATACAACATCCTGATATATACTTCGCGTTAACTCCTGATATTTACACTGTCTGACGCAGGTGGATCAGCAGTGTCTGGAATTACAAATAGGCGATAGTGTATCTGAAAGTGTATATAAATTTGGAGTCAGATTTCAGAACTCGACAAACTGCTGAGCCCGACGTGATTAAACTCTCGCAAGTTTCACGGGTGGATATTATTGTTGTTTTCAGTTGAATACTGCAACCAGTCATTAATAACTGTATACAATACGGATATATATATATATATATATATATATATATATAGACTGGAGCTCAGTTTCTGGTTGACACTGGAGCGGAAGTGAGCGTGATCCCACCCACACCTTCCGAAAAACGCCATCCCGACCCTACCTTGGTACTATATATATATATATATATATATATATATATATATATATATATATATATATATATATATATATATATATATATATACTGAAAATTCCTCTGGCTGCTTTGTGGTAGGCATTGACATACTTGTTTATTGTATTTTTCCTGCTCTTGTTCTTAATTTTTTTTCTGTACCAGTACTGATGTCCTTAAACTCTCATAATCAAGACTTTTCGAATTTAGGGTCCGTGGGTGCCATTAATCTTCCTATGCCTTGTTTTAAGTTTAATGACCCGCAATTGTGGTTTGTCCGTCTAGAACATTTCTTCATGGCCAATCATATAACTTCACAAAACACAAAGTTCGGATACACAAGCTCTGTTTTGCCGGAAGAAGTGGCTGAACAAGTAAGGGAGACACTACTAAAGCCCCACCCAGACACACCTTATGATGTTTTGAAGCAGGAGGTGCTGAAAGCTACTTCGTTATCTGACCAGAAGGCTGTCGATCAACTACTAAGTAGCATATGCCTCGGTGACAGAACACCTTCACAACTTAAGCGACATATGCAAAGTCTGCTGAAAGATAGGAAAGTAGACAACCGTTTATTCTACCAGCTCTGGCTGCGGAGACTTCCTTCATGCATTCAGCAGATATTAGCTGTCGGAGATGCGGACATTGACATTGACAGGTTGGCTGACATCGCTGACCGTATGTACGAAAGGATGCCTAAACCGGTTGAAAGTATTGCTGAGCCAACGCAAAACGACCGAGTGGCCGCTTTAGAGAGGAAGATAGACATACTTACAGGACAACTGACGGCTTTGCAGTTAAACCGACGGTCACCGAAGTTCTGTAGAAGCAGATCCCGTAGTCGTGATAGGACCACGAGTAGAATTGCGTCTAAAAGTAGCACGTGCTGGTATCACAAGAAGTTTGGCAGTAAAGCACGTCGTTGTTTGTTACCATGCGACTTTAAAACCTTTTCATCGGGAAACGGAAAGGCCGGCGATCAGTGACGACTGCTGTCGCCGGCGTACAACAACACAGTCGTTTGTTTCGAGTGACGGATAGGAAGACTGGAGCTCAGTTTCTGGTTGACACTGGAGCGGAAGTGAGCGTGATCCCACCCACACCTTCCGAAAAACGCCATCCCAACCCAACTTTGGTACTACAAGCGGCAAATAGATCTGCTATTACTACATATGGGACCAGAATTTTGATCCTAGACATTGGCTTTCATACACCATTCCAGTGGGAATTCGTCATAGCTGACATATCGTCGCCTATCATTGGCATGGATTTCCTTCAACACTACGAACTATTGGTCGACTCTAGTCGCCATAGACTAGTCAGCCGTAATGGTGAATTTTCTATCACCGGTATCGCTACGGAGACAAAAACAATAAACTTAGTCGTAGCTCCAATAAACAACACTTCCGAGTACGATATCCTTCTGCGAGAATTTCCCGAGCTCACTCAAACGGATTACACGAAGTCCTCTCCAAAACATACGGTGACGCACCATATTCTTACAAAAGGTCCTCCAGTCTCATCAAAACCTCGACGCTTAGACCCTAAAAAGCTGCAGATAGCAAAACAGGAATTTGATAAACTTCTAAAGTTGGGAGTTATACGCCCTTCCAAGAGCCCATGGTCATCACCCCTGCATATGGTACCTAAAAAAGCATCAGGGGAAATACGGCCTTGCGGTGATTATCGAGCGTTGAATAAGCGTACGGTCCCTGATAAGTATCCAATTCCTCACATACATGATTTTATGAACTCTATGACAAAAGTAAATATTTTTTCCAAGATTGACCTCGTGCGAGCTTACTATCACATTCCTGTGGAACCCAATGATGTTCCTAAGACGGCCATCACTACCCCTTCGGACTATTCGAATTTATTCGTATGCCGTTTGGTTTGACAAATGCTGCTCAAACATTCCAAAGATTTATAGATCAGGTACTCCATGGCTTACCTTTCGTCAGTGCATACATAGATGACTTAATAGTAGCTAGCGCATCTGAAACAGAGCACCTGCAACATCTGAGGACGCTTTTCGAACGACTGCGTGAATATGGCATTACAATCAATCCGCAGAAATGCGAATTTGGCAAGGAATCCCTACAGTTTTTGGGTCACATTGTTAATGCCAACGGTGTTAAACCGGTTCCGCAAGAAGTAGATGCAATTCGAGAATATCCTGTTCCAGACTCGTTTCGAAAGCTGCGAAGATTTCTGGGGTTAATAAACTTCTATCGACGTTTCATACCTAAATGTGCTGAAGTAGCCCAACCGCTGACAGATTTATTGCAAGGACGAGCCAAAGTGTTTCACATGACCCAAGCGGCCCATGATGCTTTTGACAAACTGAAGCTGGCTCTAAGTTCTGAAACTCTTCTCTCTCGTCGTGATTCAGAAGCACCACTAGCCATCATGACAGACGCTTCAAATGTTGCGGTAGGCGCAGTACTACAACAGTTTGTTCACGGTCAGTGGGAACCATTATCTTTCTTCTCGAAACGACTTAATGCTTCTCAATCGCGATACAGTACATTCGGCAGAGAGCTACTGGCGATTTACTTGGCTATCAAGCACTTCAGATATATGCTCGAAGGGTACTCATTTATAGTATTCACCGACCATAAGCCACTCACAAAAGCAATTGATGCAAAGCATGACAACTACTCGCCCCGAGAAATTCGACATTTAGAATTTATTTCACAATTCACTTCAGATATAAGGTATATCAAAGGCAGCAAAAATGAGGCAGCTGATGCTTTGTCTCGTATGTACGTAAACGTCTTAGAACGTGACCGTATTGACCTAGCAGAAATGGCAAAGTTGCAGGCGACGGATGAGGACTTGAAACATTTGAAAAACAATGTGAACACCTCATTACGTCTTGAAGAAGTGACACTTGATGACTCTGTATCCATCACCTGTGATGTATCCAAGGGTAAACCGCCCCGTTTGTGCCGTTATCAATGAGACGATTAGTCTTCTCTAAGATGCATGGCATTTCACATCCTGGTATTCGAGCTACGGTGAAGTTAATTACTGACCGATACGTCTGGCCAAAGATGAATCGAGATCTTCGACAGTGGTCCAGAGCTTGTTTAGCGTGCCAGCGATCGAAAGTGCAAAGACATATTCTTTCACCTACGGGAAGATTTTCCGCACCGGATGGCAGATTTGACCATATACACGTTGACATCGTTGGACCACTACCTCCGTCAAATGGTTTTAGCTACATTTTAACATGTGTAGACCGATTCACGAGATGGCCAGTGGCAATACCTCTGCAGGATATATCTGCCGAAACAGTAGCGAGAAATATCATCCAACACTGGATTTCTAACTTTGGTGTCATCACCACAGATAGAGGTGCGCAGTTCGAGAGTAGTCTATTTCAACAGTTAACTGAACTTCTCGGGATCAAGCGCATAAGAACCACTGCGTACCATCCTGCATCCAATGGTATTGTCGAAAGGTTCCATCGACAACTAAAAGCAGCACTGATGGCAGTAAAGACTGATGACAAGTGGAGTGACAAATTACCACTAGTACTCCTTGGTATACGTTCGAGTGTCAAGCAGGACATTGGCTGCTGAGTTAGTTTATGGAACTACTTTAAGATTGCCAGGAGAGTATTTTAACCCGGCAACAGACGTTCCACCGGACTTGACTAACTATGTACAACAACTACGGCGACACATGAGCACACTTCGACCTCAGTCCCCACGATACCGAGACAACCAAGTTTACGTACCTCAGTGCATCTCAAACTGCACTCACGTTTTCGTCCGACACGACGGCGTACGAAAACCCTTACAGCCCCCGTATGAAGGACCTTTCAAGGTAATTAGTAAATCAGACAAAGTTGTCACGGTCGAACGCTCGGGTAGACGAGAAACGGTCAGCATTGATAGAGTCAAACCAGCGTTTATGGAACCAGATGTCACGGATACCAAGTCTGAACCCGCAGTGAAGCAACCGGAAACACCGAAAACCACCGTCAAAACAGAAACAACGGCATCGGAATCACCCAATATAGAGACGGTAGCAGAACCACGAGATCCGGAAGAAGAGTCCGTTGGCCACGACGTTACTTTCAGACAATTTACATTTCATAAAACCAATTCCCTAGTAACATTATTATCGTTTTTGCTCATTACCTTGTTGAAAACATGACCACATGATTTTGTCAGACTTTTCCGCATACACAAAACAAAAATTTTTTTCCGGGCACCACGGACTTCCGAATCTATTATTTCTCAAAAATGTTCCAGGTAATACGATTTTGGTTGTTAATTTTTTTATATCCGGATATATTATTACTTTGGTAAAGTTATTTTAGTGTTTCGAATGTCATACACTTCATTTTTATATAAACACTTCCAATCAGTTTTCATCCTGATAATAGATATCCTTAACATTCCTTCTATGTTTTTAATATCTTCAAAATGAATTTACCTTTCTCATAATATTTTATATCGAACACAGATATTCCCTTTTATATCTGTATTCTGGGGAGGGACTTATGTAGCATTTTATTTCACTGTATTGTGTTGATATATGTAACAACTCATTGAACATTTTTTGTTTAGTTGTACTGAAAAGACTTTTTGCTCGCTCGTTGACTAATACAACATCCTGATATATACTTCGCGTTAACTCCTGATATTTACACTGTCTGACGCAGGTGGATCAGCAGTGTCTGGAATTACAAATAGGTGATAGTGTATCTGAAAGTGTATATAAATTTGGAGTCAGATTTTAGAGCTCGATAGTGTAACCAATCCCCAACCCATTTAGTTTTGAACATCCACTCCTACCTTTTTCATTACCAATTGACCTTTAAAAGGCCTTCATTTCTGTGTTCCTACACCTGAACCTATGTCACATTCTACGTCATATATGCATGTGTGTATGTATTTTCTTTTCCATTACTTAACTATATATAACCAGGTATGTGGAGTATCCAGATGACGAGTACTAGTGAATTTATGAATACATCAAATCCCGTTTTTCTCATATTCGTTGCGTTTTAAATTTGTATCGGGAAACAAGTGTTTTTAATACATACTGGCTTGAGACAAGTAAGTGTGTGACCACAAATCCAGCTGACGAGTCCCAAATAGGATGGAATGTGGCGTTTGAAGCGATCGCTTTCGAGTCCGAATCCCGGTGGGAACAACACTCACTGAGAAGCAAGTACATTCGGCTGACGAGTCCCAAATAGGACGAAATGCACATCCTGGATTCCATTGCTAGCCACGATCCATCCTTAGCGTGATCACACTGTTTAAAATGTATTGTTTAGATAAACTTTGTCTTCTAATTATCCTATGCAAATTGGAATCGATTAAAATGTCTTAACACAACAGGAATCTCTACCGAAAACACTGGGAAATTAAATGAACGAGACTAAAAATGTTTGTGAACATTAAATAAAGACAAGATAAAAATATTTTAGTTTCTCGCTTACCGAAAGAATAATTTTTGAAAGGTGGTGGTACACTAGGAGAATTCTTCATCTCTAAATGTAAATAATATGGACGATATTTGAAAAATTACTCACCATGACGTATACGATTGAATAATTCTTTAATTGTGGTTGACTGAAGAACATTTGTCAACGGTAGGTAAAACGTTGTACGGTATTTAAATGAACGTATAAAAGTTACTGGAACAGTGATTGTTTCATTCATGAGTGAATAAACTCTAAAACATACCATGAAATCACTAAGTAATATGAAATAAAAAGCATGATAAGTCTACAGATGGAAAATGGATATAAAACAAGTGAAAAACAGAACATTCAAAAGATTCTTAAGCAAAAGACCTTGATGTAGCCAAAGTAAATCATGATAAGTACATGCAATATATTTTATACGACGCAGTTAATTAATTTTTCAAATGAATATAAATTTACAATTTCGAATAAGAACGAACTATGACAAGATTCTGTTTGCACTAAGTTACTTGATAGTTCCATAGGTGTTAAGTGCCTATTCTATACACATGGACCAGAATTAGGATTACATGAAGAACGATCAACCTTTATGGCTTTTAACTTCAGGTTTGTCGGTGATAAATTTATCAGGTCTGTAGAAGTTGCGATTTTTTAAATATCAAATTTTAGCAGGCTCACCCCTTGTAAACCTGAATTTTATCAGAATGTATGACTGGAATTACTTTTTTCTTGGTGTACAGTTCAATAAGTCAACCAAAAGATATCTCTATGTAGGTCAATAATAGGGAGCACAACTCCTAAACAGCGACTCATAGACTTGAACATATGCTTGAATTCGAGTAACTGAGGTGCCTGGGATTAGCCCACAAATAGCATATCCTATAGTTTAGTATACACAATTGTATTATAATGATTTCAGATAGGAAATCAATTATTCAAAATCTGGAATAAAAGTCCTCTTCAAGTTACTATAAACAGATATTGAAAAAGACTGAGATCTTAAACATCACTTCAATTTGCGGCTCACTTATCTACACAATCGACTTTCAACCAATGAGTCATGAGTTAGAATTCTACCCCACTAACTGAGGTCTAGTCATTCAGGTAGTATCACTAGCCCTTACATAGGAGGTGCGTAAACACATGTTACGTACGCCTAGTCACCGATTGCCTCGTCACACAATGTTGGCCGAAATAGGTTCAGGCTGGAAAAAGACCTGAGGCGGCCAGACTTAAACATGGCATCAATGTATGAAGTCTTTGAATGTTGTTTTGAGCCATGTGGAGCGATGCAGACTAGCCGGTTGAGGTCCACGGGACAAGAGGGACCGGTGGTTGGAGAGTCTAGGTGATCACATGGCTCAGAACCGATGTCAGTGGCGCAGATGTATACACACATTATCCTCATATTAACGACGCTATACCGAATCTCACCATCTCATTCTTCCTTTCTCTCTTTTAGTTCTTTGTATTTCTTTTGACTGAATTTTCTTTTCGTCATCTCCCACTACACTGCCTTCTTACTTGATGTACTGATATGAGGTGTGGCAACTCGGACTGTTACGCAGTTATGCCTAGACCTATGCTGATTTTGATGGTTTATGGATGATGCGTGAACCTGCATCTAGCTTTTGAGTTACATCTTTTGCATGAGTCCAAGTATTCATACTTTTGATGTGTGAAAAGAGAAAACTTAAAAAGGATACAAATCAGGTGAACTTCTATTAACAGAAATCAGTGAGATGAAAGCAATCAGCTATTGAATAATAAGATTGAATTTCGAGATTTGTGAGGATTTAGAAATATTTCAAGTTGGTTTTCATCATGGACTGACATCAATCGGAGGAACATTGGAAACCTATCTGAAAGCACTGGACATCTGTTCCGTTCTAGTATCCCACTCCTCGGCAGTGCGCACTCATGGCCCTACCAGGAATCGAACCCGCGGCTAGCACGTTACCATTGAGCCATTGGATCGGAACCCAATGGTCCATATTTCCGACTTCTGTTGTGAGGACAAATACTGAACGATGGCACTGGGTGATGGTCGCGCTATGTCGTGAACTGAAAAAGTTGAAATATGGACCACTGGATTCCGACATAGTGGCTCAGTGGTAATGTGCTGGCCACGGAACCTAAAGGTCGCGGGTGCGCACTGCTCAGTCCCATACTAGGAGAAAACAGTTGTTCAGTGCTCCCAGGTTTCCGATGTCCCTTCAACTGATGTCAGCTCATGATGAAAACCAACTTAGAATAATGAGATGTTTGAGACCCAGTGATAGATAAGCCCTAAACTGAATCTATGACAATAGGGTCATTTTAAATCATCAGATGCCGGCTTCCTTGCTGTAACCATAAGTCCAACTTTACATTCATATTAGGGGATACGACGTTTGTGATAAGTTAATGCCTATGATTGTTTTAGAATCTGGAGGACGAATGGTTAAAAAATAGACCATCGACAGGAAATTGCCTGTTTTCACGAACCTTATCGTTCTTCAGTATATGCAAACATGGAGTTCTACTTAAACTGACTCTTTTAAAGTTACTATATGAGGATATCAGTTTCATCTGACGAAAAATTTCATTAAACAATCGAAACCAAATCCATGCAACTATACACCTACCTGCCAGTACAATACCATAGGCAGTCTAGTCAGTAACTCCAAACTACAACTACTAGTGTTACAGTTGTTATTAATTACTTCAAGAAGTCTGAGGATCAATAATTGTCAAACTCAACCAGTAACTTGTAAAAAATTGGAACCAAAAGGAATTATTCCTTAGCGTATTCCGCACATATATTCAGATTAAATGCATCACTTAAAGTCATTGTAAATATTTAATCGCTGTCTATTTGCCTCTTCTGAACCTTTTTAGGAATGATTTTTACACCACATACTTTCAACACAGTTTTATTCATATGAATATCTGCTTCTACATGAATCACGATATACCGCAAGCAAAAACCAACTTTAATTGTCCGAGTTACAGTGGAAGGTGTCAGTGAGTTGTACTATATTTTAAGTATTAACTTATTACATTTGTCACTTCACCAATGTACAGCACTCAAAATAGACAATTACGAAAAAATTCCCATTTTCTCTTATTGAAAATCGTCTCACTTATTACTTTAGGTAAATATAATTATCCTACAAACTGGGCAGCCTTGCCAGCTTCAAACATTGTGCGGACATTCCATGTCCCTACCCTATGTTTACTTTTGCTTTCATCTAGAGAGAGACGAGACACATAGGCCAATTGGCTTCCCGAAGGCCTTCGCCAACCAGCATCATTTCGTCTCCCCGATTCCAGCAACGAATCAGTTTATTTTTATTTTTTGTTTTTTCTGTGCTTTGAAGTTTCTTCAGTGACTGAAATGGTTTTACGGGGTAGGGTTGCTAGCCCTATGCCCAACCTTCCCTCTTTATCCGGGCTTAGGACCGGGTAGTAAACTACGAGAGGTGGGCTGGATCATGCAACAAACTGTGAAGAGCGAGAAAAAGGGTATACTATGCTTGACCGATGACCGATTTCGCCCATGATGATTTATATATAATGTCCTGTCGCACAAACTCGAAGATCTACAGGCGACAACCAACAAGTTGGCAGAAGAGACAGGGCAGAGAAGACGGGACCTCCTTCAGGTGGACGTAGAGAAGACAGAGGTGATGAAGATACCCAACCAACAACAGCATCAACAACAAGCTCCAGTCAACATCAACGGGAGAAATCTAAAGCAAGTTGTCTCTTTCACCTACCTACCTACCTACCTAGACAGCATCGTTTCAAATACACACGACACAGGCACAGATCCGAATGTCAAAGTCAACATCGGAAACGCATCAAGACAAGACAGGCCTTCCTTCATTAAACTGAAATCAGTGTCGAGATCTACTGCACTGTACTGGACTAAGCATAAACAACAAGATCCGCATTTTCGGCACTGGTGTCAAATTAAAGTCAGTGCTTCTATGTGATGCTTGAGAGACTTGGCGTGTCACGAAACGCATTTCAAACAAACTGCAGACATAAATCATCAACAGCTGCCGCCTACGCTCACTCCATACTGAAGATCAGATGGATGGCCAGAATAGTAAGAACAAACAACAAAGAGCTCTGGCTGGCTGGCAACGAACCAACCAACAACCCACCGCCAACAAATATGCAGAAGAAAGTGGAAATGGACTGGATTGGACATACACTGAGAAGACCATTTGGAAACATCAACCTCCAGGCTAGGGCCTTGAGTGGAGCCAAAAGAGGAGACGATGAGTTGGGCGTCCGAGGGTGATATGGAGAAGATGGTGTGAGGAAAAAATGAAAGGTTATGGGCAGTTGTGGACTCAGGTTGAAAAGACTGCAGAGAAGGGAGTAAAATGGTGACGTGTTACTCAAGCCTTATGCTCCACAAGGAACCGAAAGGATAAATAATATAATTATCCAACGGGAAAAGTTGCAGAGCTGAAGAGAATCCTTATCAAAATGGATGCCAGGGTTCATTATGGGCTATCAAGTAAACTACCACAAGGATATACTTGGTAGGATACAAAGTTGCATATACAACCTACAAAAGGCTGACCGGTGAATCACTTCGTTACACTAAGGAGTTATAGTAATGTGGACTTACGGCAAACGTTTATCTTTATAAGATATTGAGTGAGTTCGGTTGGAATTATTCTTTTACACGTTGTGTATATCACCATCATAACGTCAATTTTCCGGAAACCTGTTACACTTTCTCATATTCTAAAGTAACACCCCTTACGTGACATTATTCTACTGATACGCAATCATTATCTTCAGATGGATCTAACAGTTTATCACAATCACCTATTCTGTAGTGAGTTTATCTTTACAATACTGGTAACAATTTGATCGACCTAAAGACAGAAACAGAAAGACAGAGACGACCAATTATGTCTCCTAAGAACTAAGATCGTAAGTGGTATATAGGAGCAGAATATTCTTACTCGAACTTATTTGATATGAGCCTCGTTTCCTGAACATGGAAGCACGTTGGTGGATATGGTCAGTCGGAAAATTGAGGTTATCATTTCTTAGCAGGAAATCATAGTTATAAATCCCTTTGAATCGAATCGAAATGAACTCAGAAACCTTGTGTACATTCGTGCAGCAGACAATGAGCCAAACCTATTGTGTGTCCTATTGGTGATACTACTTGGTTGCCCAAACCTCAGTAGGTGGAGCGGGGTTTGAATCCATGGCCCATTTGGTTGAAAGCTGCCTTTTTAAACCGATGAGCCGTAGCCCTACATGGATGCCTCAGAGAGGCCTAAATATTTTACAAGATGATAGATTGGTTGTAGCTTTAAAAATAATGAGCTGCAGACTCAGTTGTCTGACCTTTAATCCCGTAAAGGAATACTGGAAGAACTTTACCTTCCTGTGAACTTCAAAATCGTTGTTTCAGCATACTAGATATTAACTTTTGCCTGCTCTCCACTGCAGTATGTTGCTATTGTAGTTATTCCTTAACCAAAATCAGTCCAAAAGTATTTTAATCTTCGAAAAGCATACACAAGTTCCGAATCCCACCTAATAACTTTCACAGGAACTAATTTGGATTTTCAAAGGCACAGTAATGAGGATGGACAATGTCACAATAAAAAGAGTTGTCTTTCAAATTCAAGAAGGAAATGCTTGAAATGCTCCGATAGTAATATTGTTTAGACACAAAACACTACCTGCATATGCTTTATATGAAGCAGGAATAAAAAAATTGTGCCTAACTGGCTGGGTGGCACTTAGGTGATCAATCGGAAGTAAGTGGGTCATCTAGTAACCTTTAGGAGACTAAAAATTTAGAAATTCCGGTTGTTCTTTTTATATGTATATTAGTGGTTTCGCCAGCAGTTAGATTTCTGTGGCGAAAAAGAGATCCATAGCTATGACTAGGTTGCGATCATTATATACCGCACGGGCCTGACAATTAGATTTAGAAAGCCAAGATTTAACTCTTGGGTAGTCATCAAGAATAAGGTCATAAAGCAGCAAAATGCAGAGAGTATATTTTTATGGTAGCTGATACTGTTATTCTATTTGAAATCAAATTTTGATTTACACGTAATTATAGAAAATTCACTGAAAAACAGTATCAATTGTAAGTTATTTACTTCTCATCCACCTACCTTAAGACAATAAGAAATGTCTAGAAAATCGTACAGACATGATAATCAGCACAGAACTATCATAGAGTCTTTCTTTCGCGATTTGGCAAGCGCATACTTACATATTACAAGCTATCTAACAACTAGTTCAGCAATAGTATGGATAGTTTAGGATCACCCAGTAAGTTGCTCTGAAATAGTTTTTGATCAAAACACTAAAAGGCCACGCGAAAAAACCACAGCACCCTGAACGATTTAGCTGTCATAGTGTCAAAGTATGCTGTTATCTCCAAGTTCTGATTAAGAAAAACTCCTAAACCCTTTTGTTCCCTAACACAAAGTAGTTGTATCAATTACTAACAATGGAATTGAAACTGTTAACCAATGTGCATCACTGCGCTCTCGCTGCAGTTAGCTTCCAGAATCCAGGGTTTATCTCATTTGATCAATTCATCTAATTCAAGTTGGAGTGTAAATATATTATCATTAACATGAATAATAGTCCACTGGTTCAGGGCGCTGAAGTCGGTGCGCTGCCCCTTAATATAGACTGCAGTCGCAATCAGTAAACCTATGGAGATTTAGTGATATCATTTGCTTCAGGAAATTTAGTCATTTGAAAGAATGACATCCGAGATGGACAAACACCCGAAAAATCAACACAGATCTCCTCACTTTGTAATGTATTCCCGAAGGCTAGCTAGTCAGGCTACTTTCACATGAGGTAGCGCATCTATTGTTTATTGCGCTAATCCAGTTTCCAAATGGTCCAAGTGATTCGAAAAGTCACTGACGGAATAGAAAAGCTTTCACTTATCTGGTTTCTGAGTCCAAAAACGGTGGGTCACTACTTTTGCAGTTTTCAACCTGTGCGAACGTAGAAAGAGAGGAGAAAGTGGCGCTTACAATTTGAAAATACAATTTGTACTGCTTAGAACCCAGCTACATGTCTAATAAGTATCCAGCCGGTGTTTAAAGAACTCAGGCGAAGTGGTTTAAGATTTGTCCTGGTGCGAACTTGACAAATGCAAAGACCAATCACTAATTATTCGAACTTGTTATATACCCACGAATACGAGACCAAGGAAGAACACCATAGCGTAGTTGCATGGAATAGTATATTTGGATGATTATGCCAAAATACAGATGCGTTCCAACTAACTGGCTAGATAGTCGAATACGAGCAGTGCAACGTAACATGACAGCGTGCCAAATGGCGAGGATGCTTGACCGGGTACCTTCAGCTTAGCGAGTCCAGTTAAACTATCAAGGTCAGCATCAATGTCGAAAGTCGTCAAACCCTAGGCTATTGATTTTGGGGAAGTGTGTGACGCAACAGTGGTCCGTGTCATGTTCGCTGGGACAGCGTTCCAGAGTTTAACAACTATTAGGGATAGAAGTTGTGTCTGATATCTGGCCTACTATGTTTCAGGCTTGGTTTCTGTATCCACCCTTTAAGAGTAGTGCTGTGACTAAGATTCAATAAGGGATGCAGTGGGTGTCTAGAGGTGCTCAGAATGTTATGAGTCATTACTGAGTCACCTCTTAGCCTTCCTCAATCTAGAGGATACAGATCCAGCGCAAACAGTTGTAGTGCAGCATCCTGGCACCAAAATACAACTAGGGCTAAAATAAATAGATTAAATTAAATTAACTAAATAAACCTCTAGCTTGCCTCTAGATGCTCAGGGCTTTTTATGTCTTGTCTTAACGAGCAGGCACCCAAGCAGGCTTGGACGCCATTTTGCGCTCCATTGTGGTGCTTAACATGCACGTACTCCGAGTCCCTAGTTCAGCCTTACAAGCCAGATAAGTTGATTAAACCTTTCCCCATTCATTGTTATTACATTTGCTTTAATCGAATCCATCGCCCCTTCAAATATATTCCGTATCAGTTCTTTTGATTTGTGTTTTGTTATCAGTACTTACACGTTAGGTAAAGTACTGGTTAAGCAGGTACTAGAGCACATCAAGTTAAGTAGGGTTGATCAAACGTTACGGAATTGTTACACGGACCCCTACAAATTGGTGAGCCCGAGTATCACTTCTTACTTTGTCTAGTACCTTTGCTTTACTTGCGTTGATTTATGTGGCTCATTTTGTTCTTGGCACGGTCTTGCGTTTTTTTATTGAACGCCTCATTGGTTATTTTTGCATTGTAATTTTCCATCATCATCGTGCCTCGTTAATTCCCTTGTCAATGGCTGATAACGACTCCACCGCGCAGATGGTCGCAACCCTCCAGCTTCCCACCCTCTGGGCCCACAGACCATCTGCATGGTTCTCCTATGTGGAGGCCCGGTTTGCCTTGAGACACACTCAATCACAAGAAACTGAGTCCAACTTAGTCATCGTCAGCTTACCAAAAAATGTGATCGAAGGCGTCTCAGACGTGCTGGTCGATCCGGCACCGAATCTCTACGATCGCCTCAAAACCGCCCTCATCAAACGCGTTGGATTTACTGACCTGCAGAAAGTGCAAGAACTTTTCAGGGATGTGCATCTGAGTGATCGTAAGCCGACGCAACCGCTTCGTTAGATGAAGCAGCCGGTTGCTGACTCCAACATTGGTGAAGCATTTCTCGGGCGACTGTGGTTGCAGAGGTTACCACAGTCGGTTCAAGGGATCCTTGCACCCTTCCTTAAGTGTCCCTTGATAGAACTGGCGGAAGCGGCCGACAGAGCTGTGGACGCTACGAAGCCCAACACTAGTGTCTCAGCTGCACTGTCTGCTGCCACGGACTCGTCCAAAACTCACATCCTCCCTCGGCTGGTGAGCCAACAAGTTTCGATGCTATAGCTTACATCTCGAAATTGTGTAGGGAGTTAAGTGGCATCAGGAAAGAAGTGCGGTCTGGTAGTTCTTCCAACGGTCGCACGTCTCGCTTGCGCAAAGGGTCTGCCCCCGTACCGGTAGCAGGCGTTCCAAATCGCGACAATCGCAACCCAGGTTGTGCTGGTACCATAAACGTCATGGTGCCAATGCCAAAAGGTGCACTCGACCTTGCACCTTCGAGGCTAACCAGGCGGGAAACGTGTGACGCGTATGTGACCGCCGGCATTATTGGCATGGATCTCTTACAGCACTATCAGATGCTGGCAGATGCTGGCAAGCATAAGTTGATAGGTTCTACCACAACGGCCTCTGTCTCCGGTATTGTCACAAAGACGCCACCCCTCAATCCCGTGTACTCCACGGAGGACGCTTCTAGTCCCCACGCGTCCATCATTCAGTCCTTTCCGGATGTCTTTAAGCCAAGTCGTTGTGTACCTTGTGTGACTTCGAACGTTTCTCATCACATAACGACGACTGGCCCTCCAGTATTTGCGAAACCAAGGCGATTATCCCCGAGGAAACTGCTTGCTGTAAAAGCCGAGTTTGAATACATGCTTGAAATGGGAATAATCAGACCACCCAACAGTCCATGGTCTTCACCCTTGCATGTGGTACCAAAGAACAACGGTATGGACTGGAGGCCTTGTGTTGACTACCGAAGGCTCAAAGCTAAAACGATTCCAGATAGTTGCCCAGTCCCTCACATACACGGCTTGACTGAATCTTTAAGAGACTCGCTTATCTTCAGTAAGTCTGACTTGACGCTTGCATATCATAAGATCCCGGTCCATCCTGATGATGTTCCCAAGGCAGTGGTCATTACACCGTTTGGCCTTTTTGAGTTTCTTCGTATGCCCTCTGGTCTTCGCAACGCAGCGCAAGTTTTCCAACGTTTTATTCACGATGTTTTACGCGGACTCGACTTCGCCTTTGCCTACCTAGGCGACATACTAATCGCTAGTCCAGACGCAGACACCCATTTTAACCACTTGAAACAGGTTTCCGCAAGACTGTCAGAGCATTCGATGACAGTCAACCTGGCCAAATGCCAGATTGGCGTTCGTTCACTAAAATTTTTGGGGCACATTATCGACGAGCAAGGCATTCGCCCACTGCCTGAAATGGTACAGGAGGTCCAAGACTTTACAGTCCCAGCGTCACTTAAAGCTCCGCGTGCGTTTTTGGGGATGGTGAGCTATCACAGTCGCTTCATCCCCCAGTGTGCGCACATTTTGACTGCACTGACCGACCTGCTGAAAAGTAAGTGCAAAGCTTTTAGCCTGACTCCTGAGGCACCAGAAGCATTTCGCAAGATCAAAACCGCAATTGCAGACGCCACGATGCTGATGCAACAAGACGTAAACCTACCTCTTAGCGTTGCTGTTGACACCTCTAACACGGCCATTGGAGCTGTGTCACGACAACTCTCGGATCACACTTGGAACTCAGTTGCATTCTTCTCCGGGAAGCTATCCGCCTGCGAAATGCGGTACAGCACTTTTGGCAGGGGATCGCTCGCCATTTACGCTTCAGTCAAACATTTTCGTCATTTAGTGGGAGGTCGTGATTTCATTGTCTTTGCCGACCACAAACCTTTGACGTATGCCTTACATACCACCACAGACAGATATTCACCGCGTGAATTACGTCACCTAGACTATATTTCGCAATTTACGTCGGACATCCGTCATATTCCTGGTGTGAATAACTCTGTCGCAGACGCACTGTCTCGCGTTTGCACCACTACTTTACCTCAAGCGGTCGACTTACGGGAGATTTCCGAACTTCGGGATTCAGACGAGGAGATCGAAAAACCAACACTCACCCCCTCTTAAGATACAGCGTTTACTGCTCCTGGACAGTGAAGTGACAGTATTATGCGACATCTCCACAGACACACCCAGACCGGTCGTTCCTTTACCCTTGCGTAGGGATGTTTTTGATGCTTTGCACAATCTTTCGCATCCTGGCATCCGTGCTACTGACAAACTAATATCTGCTAGGCTTGTTTGGCCTGGTATTAACCGTGATGTTCGAAACTGGACACGGTCTTGTGTTCAGTGCCAACGTTACAAGGTGAATCGTCACAACATCCCACCACTTGAAACTTTCGCCAAACCGGACTCACGACTCGCCCATATCCACTTAGACATTGCAGGCCCACTTCCACCCCCGATGGATATAGCTACCTACTGACATATGTCGATAGTTTCACCGGCTGGCCGGTAGCCATCACACTGTCCAACATTACTGCCGAAACAGTAAGTCGGGTCTTCGTCGAAGGATGGGTTTCACAATTTGGATGCCCTTCCACAATGACAACCGACAGAGGCCAACAGTTCGAATCCGCTACCTTCCGGAAGCTGATGAATTTGCTGGGATGCAAACGCATCCGCACCACGGCATACCACCCAGCTTCCAGTGGTTTGGTGGGGCGATTCCACCGACACCTTAAAAGCGCACTAATGGCAGTCGACAATATAAAATGGACCGAGTCTCTGCCGTTGGTTCTTCTCAGCATGCTTTCTTAACCTAAGACGGATATACAGTGTACTCCTGCTGAGTTAGTTCACGGCAGTAACTTCCGTTTACCGGGTGAAATGGTCACTTCAGATTGTAGTGACCCAACTCCTACCGATATCCATGGCTATGCTCGAACTCTTAGGCTACACATGCGTCGCCTCCAAACCCCATCCACACGGACACAATGTAGACGGGCGCAGTTGAATAAAAGACTCCAAGATTGCGCCCACGTCTTTGTGCGTTGTGACGGTGTACGCAAACCCTTACAGCCACCGTACGACGGACCTTTCAAGGTTCTCAGCAAGAAAGAAAAGTTTTTCGTCACTGACAGATCTGGACGG